TACTTGATTAAACTGGTTATATATCGATTGATAACCTTATTAGATATATATCGATTGTTTAAAGCTGGTTATATATCAGTTTATACCAAAATCGATATAACCCAGCAAGAGTGATTAGTATCGATATATATCTAATGGGTTACCAATCGCTATATATCCCTATATAAAATTTTCCGATGTCTGTAGCATCCGAATCTGTAAATAATTTTGTATTTAGTTTATTTTTTTATATAATTTAAAGTTAGGCTAATCTGTATTTTATGCTTAGATATTTAGTATAGCCAGGAGAGTCATCGATGATTATCACTCAAACCTTACTTCCGAATCTGTTAAAATGTTAATATGTGGCCACGATTGGTTGAATAACGCAGAAGATTGGAACCTGAGTTAAACTGATAGTATGTTTTTTGGTAATTTTTATTTACAATTGCATTTTTTTTTTTTTTTTATAGTTATAGCAACAATTTATCTAATTAGACATTAAATTTTAAATTCTTAAGCTCTTTAGTTCTAATTAGTTTATAGATTTTTTTATGCACACTTAGTACTACATGCATCTTATACTATTTATATAGTATATATACCCACATTTTAATCAAACCTTATGATCATTTTAGTAAAAAAAAAAATAATGAAAATTTCAAAAGGTTGGCTTTAAAAAGCCATTTTAGAAAACATTAATTGTTACAATTACAATAACTTTACTAATAAAAAAGTAATTAGCATTGGAGGTTTGGAAACAGTTTCCAAATTCAAGTGGGAAGACAATGAATTAATAGCCGCTCTTAAGTGCCTTAAAGTTGATGCAAATTCTAATAAAGACATTTCATATATGTATAAGGTATTATTTGCTATAACAAATATTTAAACTTTTTTTTAAATATATTAATGATTAATGTAAATAATTGTCTTATTTCTAGCATTTCATAAATAAACAGACTGTGAAAATGCCATTATATGATTTTACAATATGCAGATAAAGGAAATCTATGAGAATCTTTAAATGCAAAATTTGCAAAATTACAATAAAAGAATAAATTACATTTTGTAAAGAAATAGTGCATGGTTGAATGTTTTATATAATAAAAATATTATTCATAGAAACCCCATAAGTGTTTTATACTTTAAAATTATGAATACTGTATTTTTTATTTGATATTTATGTAATCTTAATCTTTATTATTTTGCACAAATTTTGTCTAGTTTAAAAGTCAAAAAAAAAATAATAAAGAAATTGAAAATTAGTAATCGGGAGTTAGTAATTACCTTCTTTTTAATAATTTTCAAATTTCAGTAAACTGCAATAAATAAATAGATGGTTCTATTTATTCACTTATGTTTATATTAAAGATACTTTATATGCTGTTGTGTATTATGAAGGATTATAACTCTCATTTGATGATTTATTTATAATTTTATAAACAAATAGATGTATATGATAATTTTTCTAAATTAAATTGTATTAAATCGATTTGATCTATTCCTAATATCGAGTTGTCATGTATTATAAATTCAAAGTTCTTAGCATTAGAGTATATTAATATATAAAATTAATATTATATCATTTATAAAAGGCTTTTGATTGGTTAGTTGACATGTGATCTGTAAAGTAACAATTTCATGTGATTGTCAAGCTTGCAATTGCAGGCTGGGCCGGGCTTGGGCAGGTTGGGCTGGGCTCGGACCAGGTTTGGCTATGCTCGGACCAGGCTTGGGCTTATATTTCAAATCTGTGATTAATTGAGCCAGGCTTGGGTTGGGTTTAGAGTTTAATGAGTTAGATTTGGATTTAGATATATCTGGCCCAACTCGACCCATTGCAAACTCTAGTAATATTTAAAAGTTGTATACTAAGATAATTATATATTATTTTACTAAAAACTAAAAATTTTTTTAATAATAATTTCTAATATACAATTTTATTATTCTTCTTTTCTTATTATTATTTTTAAACTTTTTAAAAGACTTTTTTTTATATAATTCTATTTTATATCTAATTATATTAGTTTATAATAATTTTTTTTAAAATTTATCTTTTTTTTAAACTTAGATGATATTAATAGTTAGTTTATTAAGTTTTAAATTTGTTATTACTCTTTCCGATAATTCTTTGCATCAATTTTTTCACATATACTAACCTATGAAAATTATATAGTTAGTATATTTATATATAACAAAACCTCACTGTATAGTGTCTGAGTTCAAGAGTTTCAGATTGCATGTGAGTCATATAAAAAAAAGTTGAAAAAGACAGCTTCTTGTAGGTTTGACTCTCCAGTAGAAGTCAGGAAGATTAATGAAGCGATCTTGAGAATTCTTGATTCCTAAATACTATAATTACGGCTTTGAAAATTTCTATACAACAGTTATTCAGCAAGCTTATAGAAATTACAAGAAAAGACCTGAATCTTTGGCAAAACAAATTTGGGAGTCAGTAAGAAATGATGGTACTCCTAATAGAAAGAAATTCTTAGGTATACTAAGAAAAGGACAAATGGTAATAAATCCTGAGATGCAAGAAGAATATGTTATAGCTTGCAAAAAGTTTTATGCTTATTTTAGAAAATATTACTCAAAATATATTGGAATAATTAATCTAGTCAAATTAACCCTACTATATGAAGAGTATATTTATTGTTCTTCTAATAGATGAATAGAAGTTAAGAAATATCAGTTAGAGCAACAATTAGATAGAGTAAGATATGGGCCCACTTCTGATTTCTCAGGAAGATTTTTGCTTGAATTGCTATCTACTATTGACTATTATAAAAAGTACTCAAAAAATTGATGATATCTTTCATTTTGCCATAATGTATGTTGGCATGTGTGACAAAAAATAAATGTGTTTCTGATCCTTGTTAAAGTATATATGATGTAATATGTGATAGCCTAGAGTAGCGATCCGGATGACTATATCCGATCTGATGCGGATATTATTTAAACAGATATATCCGAATCTGATATTA